AACAAATGTGATAATTCCAAATGGTAAAATCCTAAATGATTTAAATCTCTAATGTCTAAAATTGTCATATCACAATTCTTTTTAAAATTATTATTAAATTTTTATTTTATTTAGTACAGGGTCTCACTACACAGATCAGACTCATAGTGATCCTCCTGTTTTCAGCCTCCCAAGCACTGGAATTATAAGTGTGCATCACCAGGCCCAGTCTCAATCACTGTCTCAGCATGCCACAGGGGCAGGCACTTTAATTCTGTGAACTATCTGGCCAGCCCACACACTACAAATTTAAAAACAACAAAACAAATTTTAAATACCAAATCACAACTCTTAAAAAAATTTTATTTATTTATTTGGTACAAGATCTTGTTATGCAGCTTGGACGTATAGTGATCCTCCTGTCTGGAGTGCACCACTATGCCCAGTTTTGGTGGCTGGCAGGGTAGAGCATGGGGTACTGGGGATGGAACTTGGGTCACTGCGTTTGCCAGGTAGGCCCTTGGACTGCCAAGTTATCTCCCCAGCCCCAATTTCTAAATATTATAATTTTCTATGTTGAAATTCTGAAAGTTGAAATTCCCAAAAATCACATTTCCCATAGAGATAAAAAAAAAAAAAAAAAGAGTAGAAAGCAGATTTTGGAAGAAGGAATTAATGAATTCCCAGTTGTATTCAGGATCACATTAGCCAGAAGCCTGGTAAAACATAAAGATTTTTAGAGAACTTTAATCAATCTTTATGCATTTTTTGGTACATGTAACTTCATGGAATTGCACTTCTCACAAAACTGACTTTGTTGTAAGCTTGTTACATGGTTGTAAAAACATTGGAACTTCCTCAGTAAATCGACAAATGTCCTATTTTTACACATGTAATGGTATAAAGAACTTGAAATTTCAGCTTTTTGACCAAACTACTGTATTTATGTGCTGATAACTTTTTCTTTTTCTTTTTTTTTTTTTTTTTTTTTTGTATTTTAGGGAAGGATCTACAGGGTGTTCAGGGCTCTACTAGATCAGACTCGTAGTAATCTGCCTGTTTACAGCCTCCCAAGAGCTGCGGGCCTGCCCATTAGCAGTGGTTTAAGTGCCTGCTTAAGCAAAGCAGTCAGGCTCAGTCAAGCTGTGGTTCTATCCCCAGATCCTCAAGCCAAACCAGACCTGCCCTGAAGGCATCTTGAGGCCGCAAAAAAAAAAAAAAAAAAAAAAAAAATCCAAGAGCTGGGATTACAGGCACACACCACCACATCCAGTCTCAATTGTCTTCTCAGAGTGCCCCAGGGGCGGGGCCTGCATGGCAGGCCTCGGGATTGAACCCCCTGCCACTTGCTGAGCTATTTGGCCAGCCTCCTTTGGTTTTTGACCAATTTCATCTACAGATTTAGGTTGAAGCTGGGTGGTGTAGCTTAGTGGTAAGCGTGCTTGCCTAATATGCACCAGGCCCTAGGTCCAATCTCCAATATTAAAAATAAAGTAAAATAATATCCTGAGTACAGTGGTACAGGCCTGTAATCCTAAATACTTGTGATGATACAAAAGGAAAACTGAAAATTCAAGGTTACTTTTGTGAATTTAGAAAGATTCTGTTTCAAACTAAAAGTAAAAAGGACTGGGGATATAACTCAGTATGAAGGCGCTGGACTCAATCCCCACTAGCATAAATAATGGAAGGTAGGAAAGGAAGAAAGGAAAGAAAGAAGGAAGGAAGGAAAGAAAGAAGAAAGAAGGAAAGAAGGAAGTAAAGAAGGAAAGAAGGAAGCAAGGAAGGAAAGAAGGAAGCAAGGAAGGAACAGGGGCTGGTGGCACATACTTATAACCCCATTGGAAATTTAATATCTTAAGTTATATGTAATGAAGATTTTTTGGCCAGTGGAGGTGGGGCAATAATAATACACTCATTGATGTTGACCCTTCCCTGATGTCTCTACTTGATCTTTTACAGAGCTCAATCCATTCCTCATGATGTACACTATTCATACTTTAGGTCTAATACATAACTGTTTGATTCCTGGCTGGTAGATCTTAGCTATATCTTAATCGGAGTATACTGTACTGTGTACAGGCAGATGTGTGACAAGTGTCCCTTCCCTTCAGTACATCTACTCTTAAAAGTAAAAAGATGGCTTTAAAAATCAATGGCTTCCTGTCCAATTGGAAGTCTTTTCCATTCTGCAGAGCAGCTCATAGAAGGATTTGCACTGAGTTCTTTATGAAATCAGAAATGTACCACGCCTGTGCCTAGCACCTGAAGACGTGTAGATGGAAACCTGGTGTTAGGTATGAGACTGAGCTTGGTAAATTTTACTCTGGGTCTTTGAAGTATGTTTTCAGAACACTGGCTGCATTGCACATAAAATTATCACACACTATCACCTTCTAACAACTGAACTTTGAGAATTGTCAGCATTTTTTGCATATTCCTTTAAAGTTCTAGTCATTGAAATGTACATTTAGTAAGAGGAAATTCCACGTCATCCAATACAATACATCCTTGCTCTTGATTCCGATGGATCGTGATATTAACCCTCATAAATCCACACAATCCTGGTACCTAAAGATTGCAAATGTGGTTGTTGTGATGAAGCTGACTGTGAAAACTTCCCTTACTCATCTTACAGGTCATTTTACCACCAGTGTTGGCATCAATTCACAATTGACAGTATTCAAGGGGTTCTGTTGGATTAATGAGGTCCTCTCAGCTAGCTATGCACCCAGGGTGTCTAACTTCACTAGACTGTGAACAAACATACTTTCTCTTGCTGAGATTGTACTTGTGTTCACCACTGAAAACTCCAGATGCAGGAGGTGGACCTAGAAGATGACATTGTTCAACCCCTCACCCCCTGCCATTTTAAGTAGATGACAAATGAACATGATTTTCAAATTTTTTAATGTGTATGAACAGCAAATAAACCATTATTAGTTATGAATCACTCCCATATGTTCAAATTATTAATGGTCAAGATTTCTGTTCTTCCCTTTTTGAAAAAGGTGACAATTATCTTTCAAGCCTATGAAAAAACTTTGGTTGTAACAACTTTATGCCCTTTTTTTCTTTTATCATTCTAGGACTTAATTTCATTGAAACCATGTACCTATTTCTTAAATTACAAGACAGTGAGATAGTCAAAAGTTGAACAGATAAAGACATTGATTATACAAAATAGAGTATTACTCTGCTATGAAGGATAAGCTTGAGGCATTTGTACGG